TTCTTGTATTTCCACTACTAATGATGCATTCTTATCTCAGTGCAAAACTGTCCTTTTAATATATTTCTAATTTTCCACTTATAATATGTAGTATTAAGGGACCTGTTATTACTATGTAGTATCAAGACAAGACCTGCTAATACTGTTGTTTATGATCGTGAGTGAGTATTTTTTTTTAAACAGTATGTGTTAATAATGAATCATTGTTATTATTATTGCATGTTGATGATGGTAATAATTGTTATATCTTAACCCCTCCCCTTCATTTTTTTCCTTCTCTGTCTCCTTTCCCATCCCTCATCCATCCCCTTAATGGTAGCTTGGTGTAATGATATTCCAATATAGCTGACAGTTAAAACTTTCAGAGTTGCATGGAAGAGGTTCTGGATCACTTTCTTTACCACTGAGATAGACAAAAATCTATTTTACTCAACTGACAACCCACTTATAAACAGTCTCACTCCTTAGGGTCTGTGGGCTGTTTTAAAGGGGGGGTCATGCTTGAGGTTGGCCCCCTCTGATTAGGTACTGTTGATTTGAGGACTCTTGACGATTATTCATATGTTAAACCTTTAGAAATGATAGAAATGATCTGCTTCTGTAGCTACATCACTAGCATGTGTCTCAAGTTTACTTTACCTTTTGTTCTTTGTTGTCTTCTCCCAGGCTTAGTGGGTTATTTAGTGCAGAGGAGATCAACTCCATCACCCTCTGGCTGAGGATAAGCCACATAGGAGAACACAGAGGCAACAAATTAAAGCCTGACTTATGAATTGAATTTGGTAATTAATCTTTATGGCTGCTCTTTCTGCTGCCTTACATGTCAGATTTGGACACAGTTCCTGTGCTGTTAAGTGTAATGCTGTTAACCTCCCATGAGAACTTCTGAGGATTCGGAGACTCCAACCGCTTCACCATCTCCAGTATCACCTCAGTGGGAACGGGCTGAGACCTGCTCTGGTTTCTGCTGATGCATGATTCTAAATCACACTGTAGGTAGACCTGGCAGAAACCCAGCGAATCTGCAACATCAGAAGACGTTAACCTAATATTTGAAGAGCGGCATACGTTAAGTGGCATATTCAGTTGATAAGAGGGGTCTTACACTTCCTTGCAAGCTGACAAACTTCATATCTCATACTTGGATAGTAGAAGTTGTCGTCCAGTAGGAAGACGAGAGGTGGCTTCAGACCTTTAGGCCCCATCAGACCTTGAGTGCACTGTTCCCAGGCAGCAACACTGATCCCAGAGCTGCTCGGTGCCTCTGGCAGTATTTCTGACTTCTGCAAGAACTGCTCAATACAGTACAACACTGCTTGTCTGTGTGACTTCCATTCAGTGTGCTAGAGAGGAGAATCAGTTCTAAAATTAGTAGGACATACTCAAGCTACTTATGATGTATGGAGACAATATGGATTTTAAAAACAATCTGCTGAAGAATAAAAGTACTTTGAATAATTAATACAGTCACATATCGTGTAGCAGAAGGTAACATTACAGGGAAATTAAGAAGCTTGTTGTTTATGTTGGCTCAAGACTTACAGCAGGTTGTTTACTAATGTTGGGTCAATCCCCAGCTCCTGGACTCTATATGATGAAGTGTCCTTGGACAAAATACTTATCCTCAAATATCCTATGATGCAAGTGTTAAAATTTACCATGGCCTAAACCATCTGATGTTTTATCTATGTCAATGTTTTACCCTTTCCTAAACTGGGAAAGGGTAACTCTCACTACACTTTTCCATCAAATGTTTTACCCTTTCCTAAACTGGGAAAGGGTAGCGAGAGTTACCTGAGTTAGCCAAAAAACAAACAAACCTCAAAACAAATCTAACCTCTAATCTTCAAGCACTGAACACATGCAATTTACTTACATGGATGGATAAATTGACCTAACTTAGTGCTGTCAAAGAGCTAAACTTTTTATTTTTTTTACCTTTTCTGTTAATTAGCACCAAACTATTTGTTATTTAATGTAAAGCTGTACTATTTTGATTGCGTTCTCTAATAGTCATAATGCCCTACTCTAGCTAATATTACGCAGGATGGTTGGTTCACATTATATTTGAGATGTAAGAAATGTCCTTACCATTTCTTGCAGGTTAACACCATCCTCGACCACTTTGGTTCGAAAAGCTTGCTCTGGGATCAGGTCATCGTATGGCACCACAGTGGCTCTCCATCCATGCTGTGCGGCGGTACTGAGAATCCGGCGGGCCAGGGTGGACTTCCCAGCAGCGGGTAGCCCGCAGAGGACACACAGACAGGCCGAAGCCCTGCTGACACTCACGGCCTCCTCAGTTGCCATGGGCTACGAAAGAGCAGCTTCACAACCTAGCTTCTACTACATTTGTACTCTGTTTGCAGCCATGTTGGATATTAACTTCCTCATATTCTTCCGCGTGTCATTTCCTGTCGACGTCCTTCAAAATAAAAGCACATAATATTTTAAAAGGTTATTCCAAAAGAATTTTAAAAAAGTGTTGTAAACGACGTCTTGACCAACCTTATGTTGTACAGTACTAAAATATATTGTAAATACAGGAACTAAAGGATTGAATATCCAAATAACTTTCAAATACAAAATACAACGACTAGCGACATAAAACAAATTGTTTTAATTACTTTTTTCTTGATGTTGGTCCTAGCTTGGCTAAAGAAATTGTAAAATCTGGGCACCCTCCTAAAACTATCAATGTATCAAACTCAGTGTTTATGAGGGGAGTAGATGAAGAGGAAATTATAGATGTAGTTACATCCTTTAACTCCAAGAAACCAACTGACTGTGATGGCATTGATATGGACTTAATTAAAGATATTATTGGATGTATTGTGAAACCATTTACCTACCTTTGTAATCTGTCATTACAAAGTGGATTATTTTCTGATAAGATGAAAATCGCAAAGTTAGATCCAATGTATAAAGCTGGAGATAGCAAACTATTGGCCCATCTCTCTACTACTACAGTTCTCTAAGATACTGGAAAAATATTTTACAATAGATTATATGACTTTATCACAAAAAAACAATGTACTATATATAAAGCAAGTATGGATTTAGACCTAAAATGACCACAATGCATGCCTTAATGGAGTTTATAGATACAGTAACAACTGCTATTGAAAACAAAGAATATGCTGTCTGAGTTTTTTTTAGATTTAAAGAAAGCATTTGATACAGTTCATTGCAACCTTTTACATAACAAACTACATATGGGGTCAGAGGGGTGGCATTATCATGGGCTAACAGTTACCTTAAAAACCGTAAAGAATTTACCCAAATAAATGCCATAAAGTCAGAATTGAAACCCATTGTGTTGGGGATCAGTTTTGGGGATGCTGCTTTTCATATTGTACATTAATGAGATATGTGCAATTTCAACATCTTTGAAAATAATATTATACAATATAATACAAACTTACTGTGCTGTGGAAGTAACTTGGAACAACTTCTGAATGAACTAGAAAATGAATTAAATAAGACCTGGTTTGACCATAATAAATTAACATTGAACCTGAGTAAAACAAAATTCATAATATTTGTGAAACGCACATATTCGACTAATAGTAAACTGACAATAAATAACACTGAAGTAGACAGAGTATCTGAAATAAAATTCCTTGGTGTGATAATACATCACAAACTATCCTGGACATTACTTATATCAAAGGCAAAATATCGAAGTCTCTGGCAATTCTCTACAAGGTTAAGGATCTCATAAATCAAACATCGTTATATACTCTGTATTGTTCTATCATACTGCCGTACATGACATACTGTGTGGTCGTGTGGGGAAACAAGTACAAAACACACACCCATCCAATATACATTCTGCAGAAAAAGAGCAATAAGGATAATAAATAAAGCTACTTCAAGAGAACCTTCAAATCCACTTTTTATCAAATTAAATATTCTCAAATTTAAAGATTTGGTTGACCTCAGAACTGCGCAAACAATGTACAAGGCAGCAAATAAATCTTTGCCCCACAACATTCAGAACTTGTTCCAAATAAGACCAAATACTCATGACCAGCACGCCAGTAGTAAGGGCAAATGTAAAATATCACACCATTACAGTCAGAGGAGTTAGTGTGTGGAACACCTGTACAGATGAAATCAAGAAAAGTAAATCAATACAAAAATTCACACATTAAGCAGGTGTTAAACACAGGGTGATTAATTTATGTAAAAATGTAGTTTTTTGTTGTTTTGGTTTATGTGCTGAAAATGGTTTTATTTGTGTATGTTCAATGTGTTAGACTTGTACATAGTTAAACATATATGGATCAAATAATGTTGACTTCTGGAGATGGATTTGTTAGCAATGAAATTTGAAATAAGGGGGTAGGAACAGGAAAAGTGTAAACTTCATCCTACTCCTTTTCAAGCACACACATTATGTAGACATAGATATATACATGAAAACTTGATGATTTTTAAGTTTTGTTTTTTCTCTCGTTATTTCAATTATATTTGCATATTCGAAATAATATTCTATCTATCTATAATCTTTCAAAATATGTCAAAAATATCTATGATGTGATTAAATGATTTCAAGTCAGTTTTGAGTCACATTCCTGTCACAAGGTAGAAGCCTCAAGAAGTTGTTATTGGCAAAGCCACTTATATACCCTTTATTTAAAAAAACAAACAAACAAAAAAGTAAAAAAGAGGCATAGTATTGAGGGCAACAAAAATTTCTAAATAAATAAATTGCAGTTCTATCAACATATCTTAAGTGGCCAAAATGGGCTGGATGCTGAAGCTTTATTTAGTTTTACATTTTATTTTTTTTTTGCCATTTTGACTCTCTATGATTCTACACACAGTGTTTCTGTTTCTATTCTTAGTGTAGAAATAATTTAAAAGCCACAAGAATTTTTTACTCAGTTACAATGAAACAATCAAAGTCCATTTTTGATACCCTTCATTATTACATTGCACACATTATAACAATTGCATTTAACTGCAAGAAACATCAATAATATTTATTTTTTAAAAAGCATGATGATGTAAAATATAAAACTCTTTTTGAATTTTATTTGCATGTATCCCCAAATAGTAAAAAGACCTAATAAAACAGTCATTTCAGTAAACATTTACCAGCCTCATCCACCACCACATAATAACAGTCAATCTTACAAACAGCATGCCTTTAATTATCACAGTATTTTAAAATAGTCTCTTCATACAGTTTTGATCTGTAGCAAATTCATAACTTCAGAAAATAATTTAAATGATACTGTATGAAAGCAACTAGCTTGGTAGCTGTTTCGGTTGGATTGGTCTGGGTACTCCAGGGCCTTGTACAGGAGGTGGTTGTTGAGGGGGGTCATGACTGTTTTCATCATCCCAGTAGTTCGTTTCTCCGTACCTGAAACTGACAGATTATGTTTAAAGTAAGTCAGAAACCAATCACACATGTTTGTTTGTGTACTGACAGCTTCAATTTCCATTTATCTATGAGGGAAGTATGGATTTAGTTAAGTAAAAAAGTAAGTCCGTTCATACCCAGAAACTGGAGTTGAGGCAGCTGCTGGAAATGCAGGCTAGAATAAGAACAAGGCAAACACAACAATGAGCAACACTAAACACTAAACATCTAACCGAGTTACCTTTCCTCTTTAGGGATTTGCATTTTCACTAGAAAATAAACAAACATTGCACTTCACATCCTTCACACAAGAAAGTACACACTCTTAAAGTTTTCAGGTTTTATGCATCAGGATATGACATATTGCATGTCAGCCAAAATGCAGAAACAGTGGATCGACAGGGAGTGTACTTTCTTTTTACCATAACTATGAAGATAAGAGGATAAATATATTTACCCGGTTGGTGGGACGCTCAGGTGGAGGTATGGTTCTGGCACCCCTCTGAGCATTGCTGTTTGAGCCTGCATTTGTGTTTTTGGTCTGAGTCTTACGTAACCTGAAAAAGAAAAAAAAAAATCAAAATGTACAACACCATATGAAAAACAAAACTATTAGTATGTACACTTAATTTGAGTTGAGGTTTACCTTTTGAGGCAAGGCTCTAAGGACTCTCTCCTAAAGACGTAAAGGAGCACCAAAATGAGAAGAACCAGAAGAGGAACCACCAAGAGGAAGAAGATCAGCAGGCCGTTTCTGAGGGAGTAGTCTTATG